TGACTGATTCATTTCACTTAGCATTATGTCTTCAAGGTTTATACGTATCATAGCACATGTCAGAATTTCCTTCCTTTACAAAGTTGAATAATAGTTCATTTTATATACATATATATATACACACACACATGCACACACACACACATATGTATCACATTTTGCTTATCTATTCATCTGTCAATGGACACTTGCATTGCTTCCATGATTTAGCTATTACGAGTGATTCTGCTATGAACATAAGTGTACAAATTTTTTTTAGATCCTGTTTTCAATTCTTTTGAGTATATATCCACTAATGGGATACTGGATCATATAGTAGTTCTATTTCTAATTAGTTTAGGAACCACCACAGTTTTCCAGAGTAGCTATTTATATTCTCACTAATAGTGCATAAGGGCTCCAATTTCTTCACATGCTTGCCAGCACTTTATTATCATTATTATTTTATAGTACCCATACTAATGATATTAGGCAGTATTTATTGCAGGTTTGGTTTGTATTTTCCTAATGATTAGTAATAACAAACATCTTTTCAGGTGTTTATTGCTAATTTTTTTTAGTTGATATTTTCTCTTTAGAGAAATGTCTATTCAAGTCCTTAGCCCATTTGTTTTTTGTTACCATTCTCTTACTTTTAACCTAAATTATCCTTCTTTTTAAAATTGGTCTCTTGTAGACAACATATAATTGGATCTTGTTTTCTTTTTTCATCTGTTCTAGCAATCTCTGTTTTTTAATGAGTATATTTAGACCACTGACATTTAAAGTGATTATTGATATAGTTAATATACTTTTTACTGTTTTCTATTTGCTTCTCTCATTCTTTATTTTATTCTTCCACTCTTTTACAGATAATTTCCAATCACCTCCTCCCCCAGCCCAGGGAACTGCCCATTCTACTTTCTGTGTCTATGATTTTGATTACTCTAAACTCATATGAGTGGAATCACACAGTATTTGTACTTTTTGACTGATTCATTTCACTTAGCATTATGTCTTCAAGGTTTATACGTATCATAGCACATGTCAGAATTTCCTTCCTTTACAAAGTTGAATAATAGTTCATTTTATATACATATATATATACACACACACATGCACACACACACACATATGTATCACATTTTGCTTATCTATTCATCTGTCAATGGACACTTGCATTGCTTCCATGATTTAGCTATTACGAGTGATTCTGCTATGAACATAAGTGTACAAATTTTTTTTAGATCCTGTTTTCAATTCTTTTGAGTATATATCCACTAATGGGATACTGGATCATATAGTAGTTCTATTTCTAATTAGTTTAGGAACCACCACACTGTTTTCCACAGCAGCTATTTATATTCTCACTAATAGTGCATAAGGACTCCAATTTCTTCACATGCTTGCCAGCACTTTATTATCATTATTATTTTATAGTACCCATACTAATGATATTAGGCAGTATTTATTGCAGGTTTGGTTTATATTTTCCTAATGATTAGTAATAATAAGCATCTTTTCAGGTGTTTATTGCTAATTATTTTTAGTTGATATTTTCTCTTTAGAGAAATGTCTATTCAAGTCCTTAGCCCATTTGTTTTTTGTTACCATTCTCTTACTTTTAACCTAAATTATCCTTCTTTTTAAAATTGGTCTCTTGTAGACAACATATAATTGGATCTTGTTTTCTTTTTTCATCTGTTCTAGCAATCTCTGTTTTTTAATGAGTATATTTAGACCACTGACATTTAAAGTGATTATTGATATAGTTAATATACTTTTTACTGTTTTCTATTTGCTTCTCTCATTCTTTATTTTATTCTTCCACTCTTTTACTGCCATTTCTGGATTTAATTGAGCATTCTGTATGACAGTTTTCTCTTTTTTCTTAGAGTATTATTTATACTACATTTTACAACTTTTACAAAATGATTGCCCTAGAGTTTGTAATATACATTTACAACTAATCCAAGTCCACACTCAAATAGCACTATCCACTTTGTAAGTAGCTCAAGTATCTTATAACAACAATCTTCATTTTACTTTCTCTTTCTGATATTTCATTGTTGGTATAAAGTTCCATAACCAATTTCTGTATGTTAATCTTGTATCCTGCTACTTTGTTGAATTCATTTATCAGTTCTAGTAGTTTTGTGTGAAGTTTTTAGGGTTTTCTAAAGCCTGAAGTCTTTCTGAATATCATGCCATCAGCATATAATGACAATTTTACCTCTTCCCTTCCAAGTTGGATAACTTTATTTCTTTTTCTTGTCTGAATGCTATGGCTAGCACTTCCAGTACTATATTAAATAAAAGTAGTGAGAATTGGTATCCTTGTCTTGTTCCAGATTTTAGCAAGAAGGCTTTCAGCTTTTCACTATTGAATATTGCATTGGCTATTATTATGTTGAGATATGTTCCTTCCATATTCAGTTTGGTAAGAATTTTTTATCATGAATGGATGTTGAATCTTATCAAACACCTTTCCTGCGTCTATTGAAGTGATCATGTGTTTTTTAGGTCCTTTGTTGATGTGATGTTAATAAAATAATCTTCATTCCTCCCTCCTGTTCCTTAACATTGCTGTCACTCACTTTACTTATACATAAATGTGTTTGTGCATAAGGATATATATTGATATGTACTCAATCATGTATGTTTACATATGTAGATAAAATAATAACTGCAACTGTGTAAGTGATTTTGTATGTTTATATAGATATACATTATTGCTATTATTGTTGTTATTACTACTTTTAACAGACTGCTATTTGTTAGAGTAAGAAAAACAAAAGCTTTTATTCTATAATCACTTACTACTTCTCTGCTGATCTTCCTTTATTTATACAGACCTGAGTTTATGACCTATATCATTTTTTCTATGACCTATCTCATAGTCAAATTAAAAGCAGGAAGAACTTTTAATTTGAATATGATGTACTTAAGTATAGTATTGTATGTGTGTGTGTTTCTTGCCATTTATCCTCCTTGGTGTTCTTCATGTTCCCAGATCTGTGGTTTGGTGTCTGACATTAACTTTGAAGAAATTTTCCCTCATTATTGTTCCAAATATTTCTTCTGGTACATTTTCTCTTGTTCTGTTTTGGGTATTCCATTATACATAGGTTATGCCTTTTGTAATTGTCCCACATTTCCTGGATATTCTGTTCCGATTTTTGGTTTGTTTGCTTGCTTATTTTGTCTTTTTTTCTCTTTGCTTTTCAATGTTGGACGTTTCTATTGATGTACTCTCAAGCTTAGAGATGCTTTCCTCAGCTGTGTCCAGTCTAGAAATGAAACTTTTAAAGGTGTTCCTCATTTTTCCTACAGTGTTAATGATCTCTGGCTTTTCTTTTTTAAGCTTCCTTGTAATTTCCACCTCTCTGCTTACATAGACCATCTGTTCTTGCATGATGTCTATTTTATTCATTAGATCCCTTAGTATATTCATCATAATAAGTTAATTTGAATGCCAGTCTGACAATATCAATATTCTTGCATGTCTGAGTCTGGCTCTGTTGCTTGCACTGTCTCTTCAAACTGTGTTTTTTGACTTCGAGGATGCTTCGTAATTTTTTCTTAACAACTGGACATTATGGGTAAAAGTAACTGGTAAACAGCCTTTAATGATGTAGTGGTAAACTGTGAGGAGAGGGGATGTACTCAACTGTCCTAAGATTAGGTCTCACTCTTTAAGTGAGTCTCTGAACTGTGGACTTCACGAGCTCATCTCAGGTTGTTTTCCCTTCTTAGGAGAGGTAGGTGCTTACATTTGGCTGGTGTTGGATATATCCCTTCTCTACTATGGGAGACTAAAGGTAACTGGAAGTGTGTGTTACCCTTCCCCCAGGCCAGTTAGACTGATAAAAGTCCAGCAGGTTAGGCTCTGATAAAATAATTCTCCTAAAGAGCAGGCCTTGTTATGAAGTATAGAATGCTCTGGCATATTTTAAAATGGTTCCTCTTCCTTGCCTCCTGCTAGAAGCACAAGAGGATTTTCCTCCAGTATTCACTGTAAAGGTACATGCAGTTAAGCTCCTGAAGCTAAACAATACAGCATACCTCTCCCCTCCCAGATGACTGGAGTTTTTAACCCTCAGACTTGTCCAATCTAAAGTGAAAGTTTCTCAGTCGTGTCTGACTCTGTGACCCCATGCACTATACAGCCCATGGAATTCTCCAGGCCAGAGAAGGCCATCCCCTTCTCCAGGGGATCTTCCCAACCCTGGGATTGGACCCAGGTCTCCCACATTGCAGGCAGATTCTTTACCAGCTGAGCCCTGCCCACCACTAGGGAAGCCTGTCCACTCTAAGTCTCCATTAGGGTTCAAGATTTTTTGCCCCAGTACTGCTTCCATAGAAGTTTCTTCTCCAGTAACTTGTGATTCTCTGCATCTGCTTGTCTCTTCAATTTGGGTCCAGCAGTCTGTTCAGTGACCTCACTTCTCTGATGGATCTAAAGAGAATTTCTGGTTTTCAGTTTGCTTGGTTTTTTACTTCTTAGGACAAGATGACAACTTTTAAGCTTCTTACTTGCCAGGCTGGAGACCAGAAGTTAAGGTTTCTTTTTGAAGTGATGAACAAAAACTAGAATCATATAATGATATTGATTGCACAACTCTGTGAATATAGAAAAGACCACTGGAAAGTACTTCTAAATAGTTAATTTTATAGTATGCCAATAATATCTCAATGAACAATAAAGAGAAAGATTGCCCAGAAATCAAAATGACCCTCACAGTTTTCATTTCTGATGCTAAAACAAACAGAACTTTAGGCAAGGCTACTTTTGACAAAAGAATAAAAGTATAATAAAATATAATTGCTCTAAAAATATGTCAAAAGTCACAGTTCATAATGTAATTCTGCTTAGTGAAGGAGCAGTTGTAAAGTTCCATCAAAAAACTGCTTCCGTATAAAATATTGAGGATTTTATAAAAAAAAAAAACAGGTTTAATAAAATGCTGTTCACCCTTGGTCAATGATTTTAATTGACGGTTCTTCACATTCTCTCCCAGGCAAGATCCAAGATCAAGGAGTCATGTAGGTACAGTCCTTCTCACAAGACTCCACTCATGAGACCCTATATGATGGTGTCAGGCTGAATTTCAACTCGGCCTGCTTGTTGATAAAATGATCCTAGAAGATGACTCAAGCCGGGAGACCAGGAAGACTAGGGGTGTATCGTTCAGGAGGGCAGAGGAGAGCAATACCTGGAGAAAATGAAAGAAGGTTTGTACTGATAATGCTTGGGTGAGGGAGAGCTGTGTCAGCTCTGCAGCTGCGCTTGAATCACCATAGTTAGGAATTTGTATGAGCTCTCAGAGGATGGCTTTGAAAACATCTAACTTTTACCTTTCTGATGTTGTTTAGGATTAGGGTCAGTGTGGACTAGAGATACAGGTCAGGAATGGAAAGATAGTGGATGTAGAGGTGGGGGAATCACGCAGAATCTGGACGTGGGAAACGTCCTCAGTGTAGATCAAGGGCTCACTGTCAGAAGCCAAGTTGCCTAGGTTAGAATCCTGGCTGTCATTTACCAGCTGAGCAACATTGATGAGTTACATAGCATCTCCACGCCTCAGTTTTATCTTCAGATATGTGCGGAAAGCATTAGTGGTACTTTATAGAATGATTTGTGATAAGTGCTATGTATGTGATCATTTTTATTAGAAATTAAAAAATAGCAATGAAAATAAGCCCATTGTAGAAATTTATGTTTAATATATATATTCATATCCATACAATGTGTTGCATGTACACACATACAAATATATTAATAAAGGAATCATTAAATGAAACTTGAGAAATCTAATTCATTTGCCCTAGAAAGCTACACTCTCACTCTCTTGGGCTCCAAGTCTTACATGTAATGTGTTGTTTGATGGACCACAGGGATAAGTAGATGAAGAAAATAGGGAGACTGTGAAAGAATTCATGCTTCACTGAGAAACTACATTCCAGGAGAATCTCTGATTGCTGAGAAAAGTAATCCTGGCTGTAAAAAAAAAAGGCCTAGCACTACCTCTAAACTCACTGAACAAGGCCAGTTTCCCTGGGACCCCAGCTTAAATTTACTTCTTTCTGACACTTTTACTGTTCATGGAAAAATACTTTGTCAAAATAAATGTTTACTTGGCTATAAAATTTTGAAGGTATGGTAAAATGTACATGCATGTATATATCCTTGGAAATTTGTGGAGTAGAGAAGGGAATGACAATATCCAGTCAACAGTAAAGAAATAAAGGTGGTATGAATAACCCAGTTCTATTTTAAATGGAATTCTCTCAGAAGGGAATTCTGGATACAAATAATCATCATGGCCATATTCTCTTCTCTCTTCCATGTCAGTCGTTTCTGCAACTGAAATAAGAAAGAAGGTGAATGATATTGTTATGCCTTAATAATGTTGCTTGTAAGGAGGGAAAGAGAAATCACTTCCTAAAACTCTATCATAGGTTCAGCACATTGACGGGTTTGATAGCACTGGCCAGACCTTAGTCTGGTTCCTGCTGCACCTGCTGCTCAGTGGATGAGGTTCAAATATTTCAACTTGAGCTTCGGTTGCCTCTTCTGTGAAGTGGTCACATCAGTCACACAACCTCACAGGTACTTAAGTACTTGATATACCAGTTACTTAGGCTAAGTGTTTGAAACCCTCGTTATTATAATTTTCTTCCTATTTTTATAAGCTACATTATAATTATGTTCTTATACTAAACCAGCAATTGATTTTTGTTCTTGAGTTTAAGAAAACTCAATGCTTTGTATTTAACGTGAATGTTTATTTCTTCTTGAATCACAATGGATCTGTGGTTGATTCTAGACTTTACTGCTAGCTCATGGACATCTTTGGATGAAAGAGAAGAATTTGGTATTTAGTTCATTATTTATGAAAAGCTAAAGAATGAGCAGCCTATATAGCTAAATGAAGATTCTAGAAATGGCATCTCAGCAAATGTGCTAACAAAAAAGCACCTGCATATTCAGGCTGTCTCAAGCAGCTATTTGTTTCCATAGCACCTAAGTAGACAAAGACAAAATCTCCCATTTGTACCCTAAAGCAGAAAACACCAGTTAGTTTCAAATTCCAGGTTTTCGTAAGGAAAGATGATACTTTTCATTATGCATTAAATGATGGTTTTAGAATTTTTTTTTCAGTTAACTAAAAGTCATTCTTTGGCTATATTTATATTTTATATTATATAATTATATATTATATAAATATTATATAATTATATTAACATTCAATGAAAATGCTGATATTTGTCTTACAAGACAAATCATGCAAGTTTCTCAAACGTCATTTTGGTTAGTTTAGAAAGGAAAATGATAATAATAAAAGAGAAAACACTTCCGTGGTAAAAATGAACTTAGGAGGAGTCCAATAAAATTTCAGCATGTTAAAGTCAATTCAATAATAAATGAGAAAGAAGGATTTGGAGCATTATTTATTCATTTTTCAGAAAAATTTTTAAAAACCTTCTGTGTACTTGCTTGCACTTTGCTAAATACACTGGGACTCAGAGTCATATAAAAACAGTCACTGTCTTCAGTAAGCTTCAGGAAGCCAGGGAGAGAGGCTGGACCACCAAGGGTTATACCACAAGGTAGAAAATGCTTTATTGGCAAAAGCAGATACAGGATGCTTCACAGGAAGGAAGACAAGGGACCAAAAAAGAAAAAGAAATGAAGCTAAAGGGAGACACAAAGGAGGCTATTCAGAAAACGCAGAAACAATTTTAGTAAAGAAAATGTCTGCCCTTCTAAAATCAGAGACATTTAATATTTTGTATAATACATCAAAGATACGCTTATTTTTTTAAACACCTCTCCTCCCAATGATTCTGAGGCTCAATCATGCTTACAGGGTACATGAAATGAAGTATCAATATATTTATGTGACAAAAAGCCTTGGTACACAGTGCCTGATTGGTAAGACTCCGCAAGGCACACAGTTCACAGAAGTTAACATAAGCTACAAGAAGTGGCCTCAGTTTTCTGGTATCTACCCCTTCCAGACAGGGTGGACAATCTTTCAACACTGTACACCATGATGCCCTTTTAAATATGGCCATTGAACATTAAAAATGAGTAACTATGTAGGCACTGATGTATAGAAAATACACTTGGTGGTCATTTATATTATAAACTGGAAATAAATGCTTTTAAGTTACATATATATTTATTTATGCCAGAAAGCTTGACAAACACTGAACAGTCCATGAAGAACGGAAGCCTCTTGACTATTCATTCAAATAAATACATTCCAACTCTATGCAGCAATACTAATTTACTTGTTAAGCTCTAAAATCCTTTGGTTGTCAGGAACCAAAATAGTTTTGAGGTTAGGAAACTGGTTTCCCACTTAATTCTTGTGGCTGACCCGACTACCCATGATATTCACCACTGAGTATTTTTAAATGCATTTTTTCATTTGAAGTGATAATCAATTAGGAGCAAACTAAATCCTGTCTTAAAATTTCAAAAAAAATGCAAGTCACTTCTGAACGACATCAGACTAAGCATTCACATCTTGAATGCTGCTTTTGCAAGCTGTCACCTGTAACAGCCTGAAGGGATGTGTATCCTACACAGGACTGCCCAATCTATTGACAATCTCATCTAAGCAGGACTGTCCGATCTATCAGCACTCTCATAGAGCCAGTGGCTCAGTGGAGAGAGAACATCGGGTACAGTGCTTCTAAAGTCAGTTTATACAAACATATTAAAGAAATTTCTTTCTAATAAATACAATATAAAAGCCTTTCTACTCTATGCATAAGTTTACAAAAAAGCACTTCAAAGATGTCTGGTCAAAGCTATTGCCAAAAGATTCTAAAGCCCACACATTTTGTTCCAGATATAACTATGACAGCTACTACAAAAGCAGTAAAAAGCAACACAAAAAAATCTTGGCCTTCTTAAATGATTTCAATCCCATTCCGAAAGAGAACAGGTAATCAAAGTCCATTCGGGTTGTGCTTGTTTTTAAGCAGATATCAATCATTTGGGACCAAATGCTATGGCAGGTTCAGATTTTTTCATTATCATCAGTGTGGATCTTCTTAAGTGTGACTGGGCTTGCTTGCTTCAGAGATGTCTTAGAAACATCTGTGTGCATGGTGGACATGGCGATGGTCTCATAGTCGTCATCCCGAGACCGGAAATCACAAAAGTTAAAGAAGAACTGCAGGTCTCTCTGGAAATTTTTGTTCAGGAAGCCATAAAATATGGGGTTGACACAAGTGGAGATCATGGCTGTGAGGTGGCAGAGAAGGAACAACAGATTATGGTTGCAGGTAGCAATGATCTGATGGTTCCAGTCAAACACAGTGTTGAAGATGGTGAGAGGCAGCCAGCAGACAGCAAACGCCACCACTATAGACAGCAGCATGATGTTGATTCTTTTGGCTTCACTGGACCTGTACTTATTGTCTCTCATCTTATCCATCATGCTGTTTCTTCTTTTTAAGCGTACGTATATCTACAGGAGGGGAAAAACAAAGAATTCAAATAGAACCATTCATAGAATGAGTACTACTGCGGAAAGAAGGTAAAAATGAAAATGGTAGGGGAAAGGGTTTTCCTACCTTGAAGTAGCAAATAAATATAAAACAGAGTGGGCCAAAGTACTGCAGCACCAAGAGGAGAGTGGTGTAAGACAGCCGGTGAGAGTCTGATGGAAATTTATCAAAGCAGACGTATTTGTCCTTGAATGCATCAAGGGTCACATTTTGGAATGGCTCATCTGTCAATACTTGATAGATCAGGAAGGGCAGAGAAGAAGCCACAGCAAGGACCCAGATGACAGCAATACCTACGTATGCATGTCTATTACTTGGTCTCCAACCCCGAGGATTGATAATCAGCTGATGCCGTTCCACGGCAATAAGGACCAGAGAGAAGATGGACACGGTGATGGAAACACACTGCACAAAGGGGTTCAACTTGCACATTGCCTCACCAAAAACCCAGTGGTCCATCAGCGTGTAGACAAACGTGAAGGGAAGACACATGATGGCCACAAGCAAGTCTGAGAAGGAAAGGTTCACAATCAGGATGTTGGTGACATTTCTCATCTCTTTTTGTTTCAAGATGATGATGATCAAAGCCAGGTTTCCAGAGACCCCAAGAATTATCACAGCTCCATAAGCAAGTGCTAACGTGAATATCATGGCCAAGGGCAGATGACAATCATCATTTTCAAAAGCCAAAAACCGGGAATTCTTCTCTGAAAAATTATAATAGATTGAATGATTTTCCACCTGAGAAAATGATGTTGAATTCATTTTGACTGGTTTGGCTGTTACAGATGACTTTAGACAAATGGACAGTATGTTTCTTCAAAGCAGGTCAAAGACTCAACTTATTTTTATTCTCTATATTAAAATCCACTTATCAAAATTATTCTGAATTCTTCATTCCCTTGAACTGAACAATCTGTAAAGAGAAAATGACCAATTGTTTTATTAATTTTACTGAGGGCAGTCGCAATAAGTTCTCATTTGTAGTAAAATTTAAAGTGAAGACACTGAAATAAAATGTATTCTATATATGCATCTTTTTAAATAGTAGAAATGGTGCAAACAATTTGAAAAAACTACTAATACTTTTAACTGAATGTACTTACGTATTGAGTTTCAGGAAAATGTAGTGGCCTGTACATTAGTAAAATATGTATAAATCTCCTGCCTGTAAGTCTTACATAAAGGACCATCAGCGCATTCCTATACATTGTAGGAATATTAATGTATAAAAGAACAATGCACAGGTTAGAACATATAAAAAAGATATGAAACTAACAAAAGAAAACAAAAAAATTGTACCTAATTCTTTCTCTTATTCTAAAAAGAATTTATCAAACTGTATTAATAGCAATAGCCCCATCATACACTGAACTGCTCTTTAGAGAGGACTCTTTGGCACAAGTACCTTAAGAAAATGATCAATTCAGTGAGCCACCAAGAAAGTTTGTCCTATGAAGGACTGCTGAAAGAAAAGATGTTTAATCCAGAAAAGACTTCCTAGGAATCATACACACATCTCCTCCCATCTGAATAGGCAGCATTGGGTCCATGGCTTCTGGCTCAGAATGTTATGTCCACTCAAGTCAGAAGTAGGACAAAGGGAAGTGGATTATATTAAAACTATCTCACATCTTTATGAGGAACAAGAGTTTAATCAAATGGAACAAACTGCCTGCAAACCGTTCCCCACACATAATTTGTAATTGCTACTAGAAAGGCTGGAAAAGTTCTCACGGTGTGTAGGGGGTTCAACTGGGGTAAGTCTGAAGCTATTTCTGACTTAAAGATTCAATAATTTTATTAACAGGTCAGAAGCTTTCTATGGATTTCTAAGGTGCTACTCATGTAAATATCTTCCCTCCCCACTAAACTGTATACAGATACAAGGCTGAGATGTAAATTTTAGTTGTACTTTTGATCTTTCACAGCATTTTGTAATAGGAATACTCTTTTCTTACCAACAAAACAAATCACAGTCTTGTAGACCTTAAAACCTCCTTTAAAAAAAAAAGCTCCGATTTCCCTTATATTACTAAGTAAATATAGGAGATAGGGTTTATTATGTTAATTAACAAGTCA